CAGCACAACATAATACATGAATGATGTCAAATAAAAAATAAAACGCATGAAACGATTACACTAACTATTTTCATAACTCACTGGCTTCTTCTCTTGGCTCTTCTTCCTAATTAAGATAACTCTTGTACTTCTATGATGCCTGGCTAACTGAAACCCTTGCATTACCAAGTCACATTCTAGATTCCATAACACTTCTAGATTCCAACATTTGTGTTTCACCTTTGAATGTATCAGATAATTACACATCCCAAAAAAACAAATTATATATTAAATTTAAAACTCTTAAAAATGTTTATGTAAATCGGAGCTCATAGTCTTATAAATATAGATAATCTGTGTCACCTTAATGCAGCTTTCTCAGGCTGTGTGAATTGGTGGCATGTACAGCGGTACGTTACACTATGTAATGCATTGTATGCTGACACTGACAAGGATGAACACATCAGGTTACTGTAAAAGTAAAAAATCAATACATATGTTATTTTAATGATAAATACAAATGTTGTATTAATGGTGGTGTTGAATAACTTGATAAGTTGATAACTGTAATTCATAGTTAAAGAACATAGCTTGAACTGAAGACGATTATGACATTTTTAGTGTTCTATATTTTTAATACAATTTCTGAATAAAAAGATATTCTATCCTTAATAAGTGAAATCTTTTTGTAGCATATTGAACATTTTGAAATGCTAACAAAGTCCGTAATCCATGCAATAATGCTATCATGTGCACCCAATATTAGAAAAAATCATTGGAAGACACACTGGGGGAAACAGAAGGCCGTTATGGTGCCCAGATCCAACAGCTCCAAATCAGAATAACTAGTCTGGAAGAACAGCTAATTCAGATCAGATCAGACATGGAAAGACAGAATCAGGAGTACCAGCAACTGCTAGACATCAAGAGCAGACTGGAGATGGAGATCGAAACATACCGCCGCTTGCTGGAGGGAGAGTTTGGGTAGGTACTGGTGACAATGGGGCACACAATGGCACAAGCAGGCACATTACATTGGGGACTCTTCCCAGATTAAATCTTTGTACCACCTTTCAGAACTTGACACATTGTTCTACACCAATGTGCAACGATCAAGTGCACATCTTCTTTTTCAATTATAATTAGATAAACGCCCAAAACATTGCAAGTTACACTGTATAAAACTTCAGACTTTGCAGAAATAAAAAAAATATATTTATCCAAATGTTCAACACAAAACAGATAGTTTCCCTATCTAAAATGTGAGAATTTTTTTAAAAACAAATAAACTAAAACAAAAATACAAAGTTTTGCCTGAGTTATAGTCTTTTTGTGTGTAAACAGTCCAAGACTCCAAGACATATTCTTACTTCTACTAAAAAGTCAGACCCGGGCTATATTTCACTGATTTGCTTGACATCTAAATTCAAGTTTAACGTATTCTTAATGATTCTTGATGTTACATATATATTGTGCATGTTTTTTCCCACAGGCAATCTCAATCTCAGTCTTCGTACTCCAGCTCAAGTTCATCCGGCCAGTCAACTGCTGTGTCTTCCACCCAAGTTTCTACAACCCAGTCTTCAGCAGCCTCTGTAGAGTCTAAAAAAGGTAAGAAACAACATTGTATCTCCAGTCAGATTATATATATAGTGATGCTTTCATGTTTGGCATGCAAATGATATTCGCACAAACACCCCTTTGCTCCCAATGCTTCCCTTTGGAAAAGGGATGAGTCTGCCCACTGCAGGGGATTTGCGTCATGACTAATAACTTCAAGTGCTCTTTGCATGGTCCTAGCATCTTCTTCTCTCACGCTATGTTGCCTGGGGACATTTCTCTAGAGTCGGAGTACCATGATACCAGCGAAGAATCCTCTAGAGTAGTGTTTGCCAAACAAGTCCAACAACACACGATTTATGTTTTTCATTTTTTTTATTACAATGGTTTTATTACAAAGTTGGTACTATGTAAATCGTAATAATAATGGTAATAGCCACATCTTTCATTCATTAATTTGATCTAATTAAATCAATTTAATTCCAGATCCAACAAAAACCAGAAAGGTAAAGACCATCGTGGAGGAAGTGATAGATGGAAAGGTCGTATCATCCCAGGTACGGGAAGTTGAAGAAGCAGTTAACTAATCAAAAATCAAGAATTACACACGAGAGCAAAAATACCTGCTAAGAAAGAACTTCATTCTACAAAAGAGTAAAGAAATTTGATGTTTGTTGATGTTGCAATAAAAACCGTTCAGCAAGTTACACCTTCCATGTGTCTTCTTATAATGAGTTATTACTAGTTTAAAAATATATGATAAATTGAATACCAAATAATATTTACTACATATTTTATGATCCATAATGTAAGATACCTAAGATAATACTACTTTTTTTAAATATTATCTTCTATAAAAAGCTATAGCTAACACGACTTTGTTCAGTTGTTGATAGATAAGAGCATATAGAAAAACTGTATTTAGCCAATTGCAGAGGAAATATTTGCTCTCTGTGTCTCTGGTTGTAGCAGGTTGAAAATAATACAAAATACTGAACTCTTAAAATCATATTTTACACATTTCCACTAAATAAGGAAATTATTCTCTTGTGTATTAGGGTAAAGTGATTGTCAGTTGGTTTACAAACCCATGTAAAGAGAATGCAACTTTAAAAAAAAAAATCTTTGTAAGTATGGAAACAAATTCCTATAAAACAATAAAACAAGATAATATAAACAATAAAACAACGCAATACAATAAGAAGCCAGTTATAAATGTGACTATACATGACATTAATCTAAATTGATTGTTTTTCAGAAAGCAAATATATATTATATGCATTCAATAAGAAATCTAAATCTTAAACATTTTAATAATGATGTACAAAAAATAATAATAATAAATGGTGTTTAGTAAAATCACAAATGCAGCTCCATTAGACGATAATGCTTTACAGCGCTATGGAATCTGATGGCGCTTTTTAAATAATAAAATAATAATCCATATATTAAATTAAATGAAAAAATACTGAATTCATATGTTTTAGCTCTCAGTAATATTGCTATCACAAAAGCATCTGTAAATTACTTACACAGTGATTTTTCATTGATTGTTCCAAATGCATAAGTGAATTTCACATAAGTGAAAGTGCCATGTGGCTGGGGGAAGGTGGGCTGTTTTGAGAAACTTTAGGTGACTCACTAATAACAATTTTTGCAACTAAAATGTAATTTACAGACACAGACACAGACTCAGTTCTAAATTTGTATGGACGTACCGTGGAATGTGATGCGAATAAGAATAACAGAGCCTACCCCAAATACCCACCCAATAACAACAGACACCGAATTTGGATGTAACAGGCCACAGCGTTTATTAAAACATAAAACTGTAGGACTCATTCAACATTTATTAAACTTTATCATTCAATTATAACCAGAGATAAATACATAAATAATCCACTTGCTTTACAGCGGCATAGCACGCTGCGGCGTTTAAGCCCACCCACGTTTCCCCAATCCCTAACAAACTGCAGATCACGGTGGGTGGACCTGCCAGGCAACCCAGGCAGGTCCCCTCTGGCCATTCCGTAGTGATCTGCAGTTTGTGATGGCAGTGACAGCCAGTCACTGCGATCACTGTTACAATGTCAACCAGTGATTTTAAATCACTGGCTGACACATTGCCTTGCCCCTCTCCTCACCTCACTTCGATCAGAGAGATCATTGCTGGAGAGTCCTGTAGGAGAAAGAATTGTTAAAAATAAAGAAAAAGTTTTTAAAAAATTATTTTTTTTAACCCTTCCAGTGCTGGTCACAGCATTTAACAATGTGATCAGCCTGTTTAGGGATTTTAGTACATTTGTACTACTATAATTTTTTTTTTTTTAGGGTCAAAAAAATATTTTTTTATTTTTTTTGACCCTTTGTCAGCCGCAGCAACCCAAATCTCCCTTTACCCTTTCCCCGCTCCTGTGATCACTGTACTGTACAGTATTGTACCAGTGGTCACTGTGATCATAGGACTCTCTGATCAGGCTGACTTTTTTGGGGGGTTATTTTTATTAAAAAACTAAAAATAAAATAAAAATGAACCCTTTCAGTACTGGTCGCAGCAGCCTAAACTGTGATCAGTACATTTATTTTATTTTTTGTGGGTTTTTGAGGGTGGGTAGTAGGGTGTTAGGCAGGTAGGAATTTTGTAATTTCCCCCTTAGATTTTTTTTAATAATTTTGAGTAGTCCCCCGGCCGAGGAGGCATACGCCATTCTGGCAGGCAGTGATAGTGACACTCTGCAAGACAGTGACACTATCACTGCCTCTGACATTTAGGCTATGACTGAATCCTCTAGTGATGGTGCCCCACCACCACCAACAAAAGGATGCTCGGCAAGCCCAATGCCAAAAGGAGACTGGGTGCCCCCAAACCTGACGGCCCCAGATATTCCCCAATTTACGGCGACCCCTGGCATCACTGTTATGGTGGATGCTTGGGAGCCATTTTGATTTGTTGATGTCAGACGAAGTATTTCAGTTATTGGTTGAGCAAACCAATTTATTTGCCAACCAATATCTGACTGCGAATACGTGGTCACATTACAATCGGCGTAATATGTGGCACCCCACGGATCTCGTAGAAATGCGCACATTTTGGGCCCTAACTCTAGTTATGGGCATTGTCAAAAAGCCGAGTATCAGGTCCTACTGGTACAAGCACCCCATCCTTGCTACCCCTCTTTTCCCTGGGGTTATGAAGAGGGATCGCCATGAGCAGCTGCTGCGTTTCCTCCACTTCAACAATAACACACTGTGCCCCCCAAGAAATGACCCATTGTTTGACAGGCTGTACAAAATTTGGCCCCTAACTGAACTCCTGTCAGACAAATTCTCCAAAAATTATGTCCCTAAAGAAAATATTTGTATAGATGAGTCCTTAATGAAGTTTAAGGGTAGATTACTTTTTTTTTAAGCAGTATATCCCTTCTAAACGGTCCCGATACGGTGTAAAATTGTATAAATTGTGTGAATCCAAATATGGATATACATGGGCGTTTCGTATTTATCAGGGGAAGGATAGACATCTTGACCCACCAGGATGCCCTGATTCTGTGGGTACATGTGGCAAGATAGTATGGGACCTAATCCTTCCCTTGTTAAATAATTAAATACAGGCTATGGGTTGACAACTATTATACAAGCATAGAGTTATTTAAAACTCTATTTTGCTTTGAGACCGTAGCCTGTGGCACAGTGCGTAAGAATCGTAGAGGTTTCCCCCAAACCCTGGCAAGAGGTAGACGCAGTAGAGGCTCCCTTTCAGCGCTCTGCCAGGATGAGTTGCTTGCCCTTCGCTTCACCGATAGGAAAGATGTGTACATGTTGTCTACAATGCACAACGAAACTTCAGTGTCTGTGAGAGGTGGAACTGAGCAGCTGGAGAAGCCGAAGTGCATTGTAGACTACAGCAAGTTTATGGGGGGAGTAGACTTGGCTGATCAGTGCATACAGCCCTATCTGGTGAACCGGAAGAGTAGGACCTGGTACAAGAAAATTGCAATCTACATAACCCAGATTGCAATTTTCAATGCCTATGTGCTTTATAAAAATGAAGCCATAGGTAGACCATGCCCATTTCTAGAGTTTATGGTCCAAATTTTGTCTCAAATTATATTTGCCCAGACCCCAAATCCTAACCCTCCTTTGGAATCAGAAGATGTCCAATGACTTTTCAGCAAACATTTCCCTTCCCGAATCCCCCCAACACCCTATAAAAGGTCACCCCAACGAAAATGCTGTGTTTGCTGGAAAAGAGGAGTCCGAATGGACTCCAGTTATTATTGCCCCTTCTGTCCATCCGTACCCGCCCTCTGCATAACAGACTGTTTCAAAGTCTACCATACAGAGCTGAACTACTAAATCACTCTGTATGGTACTTTGGCAGTTTGTTTGCTTGATTTCCCTGGATTCCCTGACCTTGGCTTGTCCTGACTACGCTTCGTTAGCTGCCTGTACCGACCCATTGGCTTGTTTTACTGACTACTCTGACTTCTGGATTCCCCTGACCTTGGCCTGTCCCTGTTTATGCTAGCCATTCTAAAGTGGCTACACCAAACAACTCAAAATACTACATTTGTAGTACTTGAAATGTGCCTTAGCAAAAAAATAACCACAGGGTTAATGCTACAGTATCTGAGTCAAAGATCTATCTGCCTCTCTCTGCCTTTAGATCAAAGTGTATGTGGAGGTACTGTACTATTCCTGTATATACTAAAAACCTGGAAACATTGTAAATGTAGGTATCGTTATATTCAGATGACAGTGTTAAATCAAAATACTGAGGTTTTTAGTGCACTAACTAATACCAGGATTATGACATTTCTAGTGAAAATGCAATTTTTGTGATTAAAAAGACAAAAATAAAAGTAGAAATTGCTACATGGGCCCATCATTTCTGTTAAAATGGCTAGACCAAACATCTCAAGGTCTGCCATTTGTTGTACTCTGGGTTGCCTACTTTTGAAAATGGTATGCCATAACGGTGGAAATGTTATTACCCAGGCTGCCATGCTCTCTAAATAACCACACAGGCCCAGCAAATCACTTTGTCAAATTTCCAACTTTGAAATGGACATCTAATATATTTGTCCCTGTAATCCAGTACATGGGGGTAGTGTTATATTCAGGAGACAATGTTCAAAAAAAATAGTGAGGCTTTGTTACAATAACTCATATCAGGAATAGGAAATATCCTGTGAAAAGTGAGTTCATGTGTGGAAAAAAAGCACAAATAAAACTATTACCGCTATGTGGGCCCTTCATTTCTGATAAAGTGGTTAGATCAAACATCTTAAAATGCACCATTTGAAATACTCTGGGTTGCCTACTTTTGAAAATGGTATGCCATAATAGTGGAAATGTTATTACCCAGGCTGCCATGCTCTCTCAAAGGCGAAATAGGCCCAGGAAATCACTTTGTCAAATTTCCAACTTTGAAATGGACATCTAATATATTTGTCCCTGTGACTTCCCCCAAAAAACAGAAAATCCGATATATGGGGGTACTGTTATATTCAGGAGACAATGTTCAGAAAAAATAGTGAGGCTTTGTTGCAATAAC